TGCGAACAATGCTGTGAAGGCAAAGTTTATGAAGACGAGCTACGATAAAGGAGTAAGAGGACCATTTTTCGAGAGTGGAGAGTGGTGCATGTTATTGGTTCAAAGACCTGGACACAAGTTTGCTCCCAGATTTCAGGGACCATACAAGATAGTAGAGAAGCTTAGTGATTGGAACTACATTGTCCAGGTGGGACAGGAGAAGAAGGTAACCAGCATCACGAAGATGAAACCTTACAAAGGTGGAGAACCACTCACCAAGGTTCCTGGAGCGGCTGTGGGATTTCCCAGCGGCTGTTCTTTGGAAAATGAAGGCAACGTGAGTGAGGTGAGCCTGGTCACTGAGAGTGATTCCTCGGATTCAGATGATTATCACATCGTCACGAGGAGTCGGAAGAAGAAGAAGGATCAAGGATTTCCTTGTCCTTCATCTATAATCAGTAAAAGTGGAGGAAAAGCGTCAGCACCAGAGAATCTCACAAGTTCTGGAAATGATGTACCACAGACTGAAGTTGAAAGCGGAGATCCGGCCATTGTGGTGGAAGAGGAGGAACGAGGATTGGATGACACGATAGTAAACTCACCACTCAACGATGTACCGCGTCAGGAAGACGATCCACAATTAAATCTAAGTGCAGACACCACCGAATCTTTTCAAGATGCACTAGATTCAAGTCAATCTCAAAACATTGACTCTAGTCCGGAAGTAGCGGCTGCATCTGCTAGACCAAGCAGAGAGGGAAATATGCACTTCGGAGAAATAGATAGTAGAGGACTTACTCTTGCTGAGATAGGTCGTGAGGAAGACGGCAGAAATCCGAGGAGAAAGTACGAACTCAGACCGAGAAGGAATAAACCGAAGTACGTTTAGTACAGGTGAGATTCCTGGAATAACTTTATTTAAGTAATATAGCCTGAAAGGTTATTTACGTGATATATATATATATATATTAATTATCAATAAATGTTTTTGCCATGAAACGGACCAAACTGATCCTAACTCATATTCCACTCATCATAGCATATCGCTTCAGCATGTACAAAGGGCATAACCTCAATCAGTTTAATGTAGTGAAATGACTGGTGTGAATAAAGTAGTGTACTAATACAAGTTGGAGAGGATCAGGTAAGCTTAGTCAGCATCCATGATGTTACAAACCCTCTGGGACATTACTGCGCCCAGTCTCCAAAGTTACAGTAAATTCCTACTACGGACAAACAAACACAGACAAAACACCAACAAGAAACTGATATACACTAGCTAGCTCAGAGAGGAAATGAGTACCGGCTCAGGAGGCATGTCAAAACAGGGCGCCCTTTCGAACACTACTCGGGCTAGAATCAGTGCAATTCGGACACTACTATGCAACTAAACCATGCAAAACTATATAAGTACACCTATGCTGGCAAGGCAATAGGTCAGACTGCCAGTCCTGAAAACCAGTTCTATGATAAGGGTCACGCAAGCCCCGAAGGGTTAATACAAAATCAATAAATGTTTTTGCCATGAAACGGACCAAACTGATCCTAACTCATATTCCACTCATCATAGCATATCGCTTCAGCATGTACAAAGGGCATAACCTCAATCAGTTTAATGTAGTGAAATGACTGGTGTGAATAAAGTAGTGTACTAATACAAGTTGGAGAGGATCAGGTAAGCTTAGTCAGCATCCATGATGTTACAAACCCTCTGGGACATTACTGCGCCCAGTCTCCAAAGTTACAGTAAATTCCTACTACGGACAAACAAACACAGACAAAACACCAACAAGAAACTGATATACACTAGCTAGCTCAGAGAGGAAATGAGTACCGGCTCAGGAGGCATGTCAAAACAGGGCGCCCTTTCGAACACTACTCGGTAAATGTTTTTGCCATGAAACGGACCAAACTGATCCTAACTCATATTCCACTCATCATAGCATATCGCTTCAGCATGTACAAAGGGCATAACCTCAATCAGTTTAATGTAGTGAAATGACTGGTGTGAATAAAGTAGTGTACTAATACAAGTTGGAGAGGATCAGGTAAGCTTAGTCAGCATCCATGATGTTACAAACCCTCTGGGACATTACTGCGCCCAGTCTCCAAAGTTACAGTAAATTCCTACTACGGACAAACAAACACAGACAAAACACCAACAAGAAACTGATATACACTAGCTAGCTCAGAGAGGAAATGAGTACCGGCTCAGGAGGCATGTCAAAACAGGGCGCCCTTTCGAACACTACTCGGGCTAGAATCAGTGCAATTCGGACACTACTATGCAACTAAACCATGCAAAACTATATAAGTACACCTATGCTGGCAAGGCAATAGGTCAGACTGCCAGTCCTGAAAACCAGTTCTATGATAAGGGTCACGCAAGCCCCGAAGGGTTAATACAAAATCAATAAATGTTTTTGCCATGAAACGGACCAAACTGATCCTAACTCATATTCCACTCATCATAGCATATCGCTTCAGCATGTACAAAGGGCATAACCTCAATCAGTTTAATGTAGTGAAATGACTGGTGTGAATAAAGTAGTGTACTAATACAAGTTGGAGAGGATCAGGTAAGCTTAGTCAGCATCCATGATGTTACAAACCCTCTGGGACATTACTGCGCCCAGTCTCCAAAGTTACAGTAAATTCCTACTACGGACAAACAAACACAGACAAAACACCAACAAGAAACTGATATACACTAGCTAGCTCAGAGAGGAAATGAGTACCGGCTCAGGAGGCATGTCAAAACAGGGCGCCCTTTCGAACACTACTCGGGCTAGAATCAGTGCAATTCGGACACTACTATGCAACTAAACCATGCAAAACTATATAAGTACACCTATGCTGGCAAGGCATAGTGGTATTTTGTGGTAATCTTGTTTTGCTCTTATGAGTTAACTACAATTAAAAACAATGGTATTTTGTTTAAATATTCACAACAATATCACGGTATCCGGAATTTGAACAGTATATCGTAAAGATAGACCTTGTTGTTGCCCTTTCCGTTTTAACAGTCATATTGTATTACTAGGGCCCTGAGTGTTGATTCCTACCGTATTCTGGAGATTAATTGCCTCTTTTTTACATTCAGTTTGAATCATAACAACACTTTACTTACAGTAGTACTAATCTTGACATCATTTAGAACATGATTATATACAACATGGTGATATGGATAATGTTGGGCACGGCAAGTGCCGCATTTCAAAAGAAAGGATCTCAGAGGGACATCATTGCAGCTGAGATTGGTGTAAAAATAGAAAAGTCGGGCAGAGCGGTCATGGTGAATGACAAGATAATAATTTCTATGATAATCAAGCTGCCCACCCAGATGGACATTTTGAAGCCCCTGCAATCGGCATTTGATCGGATCGTGGAATGCAACGCGGTGGAAGATCTGGATTTCAGATCGAACATGGGCCAAATGGTCGCCAATTTAAACGATCAATTCAATGATTTTATAGCAACAAGGCTTAGTATTTTAAGAGCCTTCGTCGAGAATGATGCAGAAGAGGATAACGAGGACAAAGACAGAAAAAAGCGGCAAATTTTGCCATTCCTGGCAGGCGCAGGGATTTCCCTGGCTATGGAGGGAGTGACAGAATATCAGATCTACAAGATAAAGAAACACGTGTCAGAAAACCAGAATACCATCTCAGACATGAAGAGTAAGATCTTGCATTTGCAAGATGAAATAACAGCTTTAGATGAGAAGGTGGTAGGATTTGTCACAGTAATTACTGCAAAGTTGAGTGAGTATTTTAAGAGAGAGGAGTGCATGATATTCTTTCACGAAATGAGCAGAACGGTAGAAGAGGGGTTTGAAGAGGCCCGGGAAACCATAAACAATGTTTTGTGGACAGCTCTTACGGGAAAAAACGACTTATTGCTTTCCCCTAAGATGGCAGGTATAGGTACACTAAGGAAAATTGTAGACCGGAACCCTGCTTTAAACACTACTATTTTCAGTGAGCACCCCAGTTTACTTTACTCGTTAGCAAACGTGCATCTGTTCGAGGTGAGTTCAAGTTTAGACGTAGCACATTTTATTTTAGACATTCCTTTAATTCGTCAAGGAAGATCTCTAGAGACATTTGAAGCGGCACAGGTTGGCATGGTCACAAATAGACAGGAGAATCTGTGTGTGTACTATGAATTACATGAATTGTTGTATGTGAAGGATGGAATTCTGTTCGAATTCACTACACACGATTGTAAAACACACAACGATTTATACGTTTGCCCTGTGGAGAATTTTACGAATCAAACATCTTGCATCCAGCGGGGGAGCATCACGTGTAGGATCAAGCGTACGAAGTGTAAGAATTATTACCAGTATAATATGTCACAGCTAGGAATCTTAATAAGAAACAACAACTATTTGGATACGTATGTAATTAGTACAGGTGGATTCACTAGTTTGGTAAACTTATCAGAAGCAGGGACGGCATATATTGCATGGGATTCCATAAAAGGTGTGCAGATCGGAAACACGTTGATCGAATCTCCGAATTCGGAGTCAATCCCAATGTATCCCTCTTCGTTAAGCTTCAATCTTTCTTCGCTAGATTTTTATCTAGACGAAACAAATGTCACAGACACTTTGACGGGGATTTGTAGAAAATATAATAAAACTTTGGAGAATATTTTGCCCCCGCTCGTGGACGACTGGAATAATAGGTCCAATGTGCACTCAAATGTTATGATATGGGCAATACTGGTCGCAATAGTTTTAACACTTGCCGTGTTGGGTATCATGGTGCTCATGGTATATCGGAGATTGACGAAAGAAATCAAAATATTGAGACTGCAGGTGCAACCTCATGAGTCTCGGAACCCGAGAAGATTGAAGTTAAACAAATGTGCATCCCTTTAAAACATGAAATGTCACGTGCTAGGGGGGTCCTCACGCAATTGTGTGAGGGCTACTAAAGGGGTGTGGAGACGGGTTTCATCACAATTTGATTGACGCTCGTATTGCTTAATAATAGTATCGTATAAACTTGAACATGGAGAACGAAAGAATAACAGTGGAACTAGAAGACCAAATGGAAGGAATCTGGTCTGACGAAAAAGAAAGCGTGAAAGATTCTGTTGGTGAAGGGAATTCCCTTTGTCAGCTGAGTCAAGAAGCGCAAGATGGAGAAGAAGTGTCAGAAAAGAGTAAAGATGAGGAAAAAGAAAGCGTGAAAGATTCTGTTGGTGAAGGGAATTCCCTTTGTCAGCTGAGTCAAGAAGCGCAAGATGGAGAAGAAGTGTCAGAAAAGAGTAAAGATGAGGAAAAAGAAACCGTGAAAGATTCTGTTGGTAAAGGGAATTCCCTTTGTCAGCTGAGTCAAGTAGCGCAAGTTGGAGAAGAAGAGTCAGAAAAGAGTAAAGATGAAGAGACGGAAAGAAGTGGTTCGTGGAAGAGGAAGGTTACGGATAAGTTGGAAGTTCTTTTGAAAGAAGGACCAATAAAAGTAACCTTAGACGAAATGAGGAGAATGAATAAACAAGTGAGAGAATCTCTCATAGCAGATAACACATCCACGGAAGAGAGGAAGAAATGGGATGTACTGTGGGAGTTTCTAGGATTATTCGTAACGATTGTGGATCCGTGGGGAGCAATGCTTACTTGGGACGCATGCTCTGGGCAGGATAGATATAAAGAAAATTTCTTTATGATCTTGAATCCCGGAAGGTCATTTAATAGCAGCAGGACCGAAGACTCTCGCTACAGCGGATTGAAGAGTGTGATCCCGATGAAGTACGGAATAAGCAGAGGACACTTAGAGAACTACAAACAGAATAGGATTAACGGAATTCCGTTAAAGCCTAAACCAGGAAATGTAGAGCAATTAATGCAGAGTGGATCTAAGAACAAGGAAGTCGTACAAGTGACGCGGGGATTCGAGGAGAAAAGGGGCGTCGACAGAACAGCAGGAGGAATTGCTCACTGGGAGAGAGAACGGCAGGAAGATGACAGAAAAGACGAAGAAAACAGAAGAAGAAGAGATAGAGATGCACGTGAAGAAGCGGAGAGACGAAGAAGAAGAAACTTGGCGGAAAGAAGAGAAATGGTCCAGCAGAGATTGGCAGAGGAAGGAAATAGACATCGCAGGCAACAAGAATGGAAAGCACAGCCAGAAAGACAGTATTATAATGCACGAGACAGACGGAGGGGAACTGAAAGATGGCACGGAGACAAAGAGGATTTCATCAGAGTCTTGAATAGACTAGCACTGAGAGTGGAATTGACGGCCAAAGATGTGTGCTACGGGATAACTGAGGAGGATAGAGCAGTGGTGGAATGGAAACGCGATGACAAAAGGAAGGAGAGGAAGAAGATGCTAGAGTTTTACATAAAGAACAGGGCGGGGGAATTCTCCCGTGGCTGTAGAAGTTTAGTAGATATAGTGAGGGAGTTATGGGAGGATGAAGAAGATATGACGGATGGACTGGTAGAAGAAGAGTTAGGTGAACTGATGAGGAGATTATGGTTCTTAAACAATCTTGATGTAGCAATTTAGTAATAGTCGCATGCAATTGTATGCTTCTATAGTTTTTAACAATTTGTGCAATTGTACAAAAAAGAATACAGTCCTCATCATCCAGCTCTGCCACAGACCCTCTAGCCAACAGCATCGAGCAGCTGAACCAGCAACTTGCACAGCTTCAATCACATCAAACTGCAGCATCTGAAACACCTGCTTGCACTGCCACTCATGAGCTACTTGAGAGAGTCTCACTAGAACTGAATGAGCATTCCACCCAACTTAACAACTTAAGCAGTCAAATACAGGATTCTAAAGCATCTCCTCAATCTAAAGCACCACCTGTAGCCCAGTACCCCTCTCCTCCAGTGCAGGCTCCCCTACAACCTGAACAACCTACCCCTCACTTACCACATGATCAGGTGCCAGTAACTGAAACCAGGCCAGATTTTATTCTGGCTACTGAATCTGAGAAAATTATTGCCTTTCTTCAGTCATGTTCTTTCAAACAAGAGAACGGTCACTCCGTCACTTCATTTGGCACCCCCTACCACTACATGGGATCTAAATCTTCAGAAAATGTGCCACCAATTCCTGAGGAACTCAAACCATTATTTGATGAAATGAATAAAGTACAAACTGAACTTTTTAACAAGAGCTACCCGGATCAGCCCCACCTGACGGCCCCGGTTATCAATTCATGTCTCATCAACAGATATGATGGCTCTGATAGTCACCTGCCTAACCATTCAGACCGTGAAGTAACCATCCATCCAGAATCATCAATACTTACCTTGTCTCTCGGCCAGATCTGCAACATCAAGTTCACTGAATGTGACTCTAGAACTGAATCCTCTCTTGAATGTCATGATCGCTCCCTGTACATAATGAGCCGTAGATCACAAGAAGTTTACAGCCATATGATTGAGCGTGGCTCAATATCAGATGGTATTAGGTATTCGCTGACCTTTCGTGCTGTTAGCTGGACAAATAAAAATTGCACAAGTTTACATGGTGATTCAAACACAGGCTTCTTGCGTTTTGGATCTGACAAGAGGGGTACCTTTGGCGAACTCATGCCAGGTCAAAAGTTCTGGGCTCCCAGAATTGAAGATATCAACCCTGTGTCCTGCATGGGTTACGCCAATGTGGTGCTCCACTGTGGGATCAATGACGTGAGACAGCCTGATATTAGTTGTGAGAATGATGTTGCTGATTGTTATAATAAACTCAAGCTGAAAATTAAACAAATTAAGAATCTTAGCCCCAGCACTAGAGCTGTTTTTGTTTGTAAACTGCTGCCTACTAAGGACTTAGAGCTGAATGTAAAAGTTAATGCATTTAATAGACTGATTCATTTCGACCTGCTCCCTACATGTAAGGATGTCGTATGTGTTAAGGGTTTCGAAAAGTTTGCCTGCAACTATGGTCTTGCGGACGAACTGTCGAAACAATTCGACAGACATGGTCGACTTGATACACTTCATCTCAACAAGTTAGGGGCAAGAGTCCTTGCTGGACTCATTAAACAATCTGTATTTATTAGGTTAAATGGCGGAGAAGACAGAAGAAAACACATCGGCAAAGTCAATGGACGGCTATACAGCAACGTGGCTAGTGACCCGCCTGCACCGCAGCGGAGGGGACGGAACGGTTAACAGGTATGGTTAATCGTGTTCAAAAGGAAATTTGTAGTCACTGTCTGAAGAATATTGGATTAGGGCTTCCCCACTTTGAATGTTTTAACTGCAATAGTATTCTCCATGCCAAATGTTTTAATCCTTCCAAAGCGCAAGTTATCAATGAAAACTTTTACTGCAACGAGTGTAAACATTCCATATCTAAAAAATACAATCCTTTTAAAGTAATGACCGATCCTGAAGTTAATGACTGTGACCCATGTATCCAAAAGATGTCCGATGCTTTGGAAAACTGTAGATCCTATACAATTAAGGACTTTAACACACATATCAAACCTTGTTTTGCAAGCAACTGCTCCATGATTTTCCAGAACATAGATGGCAATAAAACAAATTTTGATGCCTTTAGCATGGAACTAAACCGATTAGCCGAAAAATTTAAAATTATTGGACTTGCTGAAACCAATATTGGAATAGAGGAAAGCACTGTTTACCATCTTGAGGGGTACAATTGTTTCTATCAGGATAAACATATCAATAAAGCGAAGGGAAGTGGAGTAGCATTGTACTTAAAGGACGAACTTAATGGAGTTGTAAACGAAGAATTATCATGGGTAACCAAAAATCTTGAAACCCTATTTATTACTATTCAACATGATGAACCTGTACATGTAGGAGTACTGTACCGTCCTCCTAGTGGGGACTCCTCAGAGGCACTAAATGAACTTAGAAAAATTATTGAATCATGCCCAAAAAAGAATGCTTACATACTAGGTGACTTTAACATTAATCTCCATGATGAAAACAGTAAACTTGTTCAAGACTTTGAAAACCTTATTCTAGGTCTAGGTTTATCACCACTTATTTCTACTTCCACGCATCATAAACCAGGATGTAACGAATCGTGTATTGACAACATACTCACCAACAACATAGAAAACTCTATCTGCTCTGGAACAATTAGTACCTGCATCAGTCACCATCATGCTGTATTCCATATATTCAACTCACCCCTAGTCAGTACTGAGGTTCATGAACAAAACTATTTCCAGTACTATGACTACTGTGCAAAAAATGTGGACAAATTTGTGGAAGTACTAGACAATGAATTAACTAGTGATCCACCAGAAGACTTCAGTAATTTTTTCACTGTATTTAATCATCAACTAGACAGTGCATGTAAACTAAGCCAGCCTAAGTGTTCTAAACGTACTGCTAAGAATAATCCATGGATTACATCTGGCCTGATTGCCTCTATAAATAGAAAACATGAGCTTTATGACCTGTGGAAAAAGGCAGTTAAGAAGAAATGCCTCAACGCCTCTTCAACCAACCATGCAGACTGTCTTACCCTTTGTTTTAATTGTACAAATAAAGTAACACGTCATGAAGAATTTAAGGCACACCGGAAGTTATTAAACCACCTTATTAATTCTGCAAAACGTAAGTATCATGGTGTTAAGATTACAGAATGCGCTGGAGATAGTAAGAAAACTTGGCAGATAATTAATGAACTGCGTGGTAAGAAGAGACGTGAGATTAAACCTAACTTTGTGATAAATAACGAGCGTGTGATTAATCGGCGTGTAATTGCAAATGAGTTCAATAAATACTTTGCCTCTATTGCAGCTAACTTGAACGAAGCATACTCTGGTGACTTCTTAAGAATAAATTCCCTGCCGTCATTTACTGATTACCTGCCCACATCAGTTACGTCCAGTATTTTTCTTTGTGATTGTGACTGTATTGAGATTAAAGAGATCATAAACGAACTAAAAAACGGGAAATCTAGTGACATACCTATTCATGTGATCAAGAAGTCGTGTCAAATTACTGCACCGTACTTAGCTAGATACTTTAATAAATGCATGCAAGAAGGCCACTTTCCCGATGAATTAAAAACTGGGAGAATCAGCCCCATTTACAAAAAAGAAGATGAACAGCTTTTAGAAAACTATAGACCAGTATCAACTCTACCTGTATTCGGGAAAATTCTAGAAAAGTTAATATATAAGCGGCTCTATAGTTTCCTTACTTCCAAGGGTATAATACATGAAAACCAGTTCGGCTTTAGAAAAGGACACTCCACCAGCCATGCACTGAACTACTCTGTAGAACATATAGAATCGTTAATTAGTAAAAAGCAACATGTCCTAGGGGTCTTTATCGATCTCTCAAAAGCCTTTGACACTCTAGACCACTGTAAACTAACTACAAAATTAAACAACTATGGCATAAGAGGAAATGCTCTGAATCTTATCTCTAGTTATTTGTCTAATAGGAAACAATTTGTAAACGTTTTGGATACCAAATCTGATGAATTACCAGTTGAATTCGGGGTCCCTCAGGGTAGTGTATTAGGACCTCTACTTTTCCTACTGTACATCAATGACATATGCAATATAACTAAAAAGGGTAAATTTGTCTTATTTGCAGACGATACTAATATATTTGTCGCTGCCGATTCGAGAAATAAAGCATATGAATTGGCTAATGAAGTACTACAGGCCGTAAACAAGTATATGGGAGTTAACCTACTGCACATTAATGTAAAGAAGTGTTGTTACATGTATTTTTCTCCCTCTAAACGTAATAATAACGAATTAGATGCCGATATAGATAGCCAAAACTTGTCCATTAATAACAAAATAATTAAACGTGTAAGTCAGACAAAGTTTCTCGGAGTAATCATGGATGATAAATTGAGCTGGAAACCACATATATCATCCCTCAACAAGAAACTAAGAAGTGCTTGTGGACGTATCTACCGTATTAAGAAATGCTTACCAGAATCACTATATAAACAAATATATCATTCTCTCTTTGAATCACACCTAGGTTATGCTATTTCTGTCTGGGGAGGTATTCCCAATAATCAGTTAAAACCGCTATTTATTACTCAAAAGAAGTGTATCAGGATTCTATTTGGAGACTATGAAGCTTATGTAGACAAATTCAAGACATGTGCTAGAGCAAGACCAATTAATTCTCAACGTCTAGGATCTGAATTCTATGTTAAAGAGTCCACTAAGCCTCTATTCACAAAACATGAATTACTTGTTACAGAGAACCTGTACCGATACCGTTGTTTAATGGAACTTTTTAAGATCATTAAGTCACGAGTACCAATTTCGTTATACTACTTATTCAACATATCAAATAGGAAAGATAATCTGTTCATTACACCCTCTCCAACTAATCAATTTATTTATAAATCTGCATGGCTGTGGAACGAATTCCGTAAAGTTGGCCCGTTAAATTTCACCTCCACATGCGGATCTGTCAAGAATTTACTTAAACAGTCACTTCTAAGAGCTCAAAACCGGTATGGAACTGAGTGGTGTGACAGAAATTTCACTGAATTCTGATTATGAAGTGATATTCATTTGCCTGTTA